AAAACTAACTATGATAAAGAAGAAGTGAAAGAACATATAAACTGGACATGCTGAATTGCTCGCTATAGCGCCTGCTAATAAATAATAATAATAATGCTTAATATTAACAACAACTAGAACTACAAAAAGTAATAGAAGTACATCTCCTAATCCTTCAACTACTCCTCATACTACTACTCCTACTCATCATCCCCCCCGCTAGTAATAAACAACTCCTCAAATAGACTCCGTACCATGGTTAGAAGGAAGAATATTATACACAATTTGTAACCATAATCTTTTCTTCATCTTGTAACACACACAGTATAATGGAAAAACACTTTTATTTTAATTTCCTTTTTTTTATATATATAAAATAGAAATCTTTAAACGTGTAACCACTCGAAAGGCTATACAGTTTTAGGATTTTGTATATGTATATGTATAGAATACAAACATATATTTGTTTAACTACATACATCGTCGTCATTTAATTGCCCTTTATTATTATTTTTTTTTTATTTTAAAAATAATAGTTTTTATTTTATTGTAGTGATTAGTTGTCCCTACCAAAAAAGAAGTTGAAAGAAACTAACAATTATTTTCATCTTAGAAGAAGTTTTAGTCTTTTATCTAACAAAAACAACTTGACCTCATCCCTTCATCTTAAACACAAACGTCACTTCAACACCCCGCACCAGCTCCTTCTCTAACACCTTGTCTATTCCCGCCCCCCCCACTTATCACAAATACATAATTATTTACACGCATACATAACCACAAACATCCATAATAATTAATAATAATAAATAATACACTTACACATTTTTTATTACAAAAAAACAATGAAAAACAAAAAAAGAAATAAATGATAACAATTATCAAATAATTTAATTAAAATAATTATTATATTATTATAAACAAACAAAACATAATTAATAAAATACAAAACAAAATGAAACCCATTATTAAAATTTTACTATAAAACTGTATTGTACGTATTTCTACACATACACAACAACAACAACAAACATTTTACATATTAAACGAGTATATTTTGTAAACAAACAGAACAAGAACAAGGATTTATAGTTTATTTTTTGTTTTTTTTAATTAACTTGATCCTTTAATCTCCTTAAACACTCTCTAACTCTCCTTAAAATAAAAAAAAAAACAACAACAAACAAACATACATAACTTATAAATAAATATAAACATAAATTAATGTATGTCTTGTATACATACTTATATGCGTAGCAAATTGTCGTATTGCAAAGCAACAACAAAACAAACAAACAAACAAATTTAATAAGTTTAAAACACACATTCTTAACATTTAAATAAATTAAAATAAAACAAAACAGTAAAAACAAGAAAGAAAGAAATATTTATTAATTAATTCACAACACAACAAAAGGAGTATAAATGATATAAAGAAAACGTAAAAGGAGTAAAAAAAAAGAAATTATATTAAAAATAAAAAAAGAAAAAAACAAAATAAATATTGTAATCGGTTTAAACTTATATGTATAATTATAATAATCTTAATATTTAAATTAAATACAACAAACAAAAAATATGATTGAATCCAAATAAAGATCTTACATTTTTTTTTTATTTACAAAAAGTATAATTAACGGAATATATAGAGAGTAATGACTTTCCAGAGGTTGTGATGAAATTGCTGAGGATAAAAATAAATCCAATCCAAGTAGAAATGTAAGTTCTCTGTTCTGTTAAGTGTCATTCTTGATAGTAAACTAACTTGGAAGAAAAATACTTAGGAAATAAGGAAGAGGGGGACTATAGACTAGACTATAGAATAGAATAAAGACTAGATCATAGAACAAAATGTGGGTCTATAGTCTAGATTAGACTAAAGACTACACTATAGACTACATCATAGACTATAGTCTAATCTATTGTCTAGATAAGACTATAGACTAGTCCGCAGACTAGACTAGATTGTAGACTAAAATCTAGAAGAGACTAACAACTAAACTATAGACTGAAGATTAGATTATAGAGTAAACTAAAGAATAGACTATACTAAGGACTAAACTGAAGATTGTATTTTAGAGTAAACTACAGAATAGACAATGGTCTAGAATATATACTCGACTATTAACTAAAAGACTAGATTATAGCATGATGTAATAACTTAGTGCGTACTGGATTTTAGAGTAAACTATAGACTAGAACACTCTTAATGGTTTTTCATGGGTAATACAGAATTGAAAAAATACCAATCGGAAACTATGAGAGACCTGATAAATTTCAATAAAACAATTTTGACTTGGACTATATAATTAGTAGTTTATAAACTACATTTGAGTTTATTTATATTTTTGCATAAATGTAAATGTATAAATATGTTTGAAACTACAGTTAATGCTTAAAGAATACTTTATGTATGAATATTATAACGAGAATTTCAAAATCCATCTGCAACGCATGCAACATCTACTGGCTATGAAGAAGTTTTGTAAAATCGGCATAAGCTGATTCCAAATCAAATAAAAATTGACGCACTTGATTGTCGTTTAGTTCATCGGAGGCCTGCATATCGTTTAGAGTTGAAAGCCATGTTTCTACCTTCTGTTTGGCTTCAAAATCTTTGGGTATCAATGACAAACGATTCATATTATCGGCCAAATCTTTAACATCGAAATGCAAAGCATCCATGGTATTCATTTTAAGACGCAACTTGTCCATAATGGTAATAAACAACGAAACAATATCTGCAATACATTTGGAAGTGTTGCCCTTATCGTCTTTAATGGTAATGGGACGCTCTTCACGTATACGTTCCAGAGCAGCTGGACAATCTAAACGGAACTTCTTAACGAATGTATCAACGGTGGGATATTCATCACACTGCACCTGTTTAAAGGCCACTTTATATTGTACCAAATATTTGGAACAAGCGGCCGTATACTCTTGAGGTGTAATACAATCTCGAATGTAGGCCTTTTCCAATTGCTGCAGCGTATTAATGATGGCATATAAATCAGCCATATTATCGTACTTTTCACGTTCGCGAGCATTACGGAAAAGCTTAACTTCTTCATATAGTTCAGAGGAATTTTCTTGCATTATTATTTTGTAATTTTACACTTTAATTTTGTGAAATAAACAAAAAAAACTTGAAAGAATGACGAATATCTAGTGGTGTTGTTGTTTTTCTCAATAAAAATTCTTCTGTTTGTCAAATTTTGCAGAGTTGTATTAATTGGTAGTGTTATTTTTGTATGAACGAGATGGTTTTTTTTAGTAGTATTAGGGAAATAATACCATAAAATACATGTGTGATACCAAGCTAAAAAAATAACAGTACTTTGGGCGCAATATTTAGCTTTGTTGAGAATTTTTGTGTCAATTTCTGTGAAAAAGTGTGTTAAAGTTATTGTTTCCAGTTTTTACAAATATTTAGGTGTTATTAAACATTTAATTTGTGTGTAAGTTGTTAATTATATTTATTAAATTAGTTTATTGTGAAGTATTTGTGAAATTTTGATATTTCATGAAAGTTATTGATGAAAGGAGCAGATAAATCTTTCCAATTAAATTCTATTGTATTAAAGAAAGAATGACAAGAATTAAGTTTTTTTTTAAGGATTTTTAGCTCGTCACGAAATCATTTTTCCAAGATTTTCCAATTTATTGTCTTGTTGGTATCTTTACTATTCTTTCCTTGGAACAAAGTTTCTATTGATAAGTATTGACGATTTTTGGCACAGCATGATCCGGTTGTGTCCGTAGCGAACATTAAATTGTCTTGGATTTAGTTTACATAGTTTTTAACTCTGCGGTATCCTTCGGAAGTGAAAAAAGCGTACAGCTTCCCACTGCATCTATTTAGTGGGAAGGGCATAATGAGTTTGTGTTCATGTTTGTAACTTGAACCCAGCAGTTCGGCAAAGAGTCAATGCTTCTAAAGAAGACTGACATTTTCACTTACGTGTGATCGCCGGGTTGGCTGTTATTCGTCTTTCGTCACGAATGTACTTTTTATAAACGAGAGTGCAAACAGTCGTCACCCTTTTGTAAGCGACAGCGTGGACAGTCCCAAAGTAATCTCAAGGTTGGACACTTAACAAACAAACTTAAGCGAAACAGTTCATACTTTGACTCCTTTAGATAGCTTTCTGACTGTGTATTTATTATCTATAGAGGGACGATTGAATTCCTCTTAGGACAAGCATATTAAAAATCTCTAGTCACCTGGTTAGTCGGCTAACCATTTCCGATTTAACTGCTGGGAAATAGGTCGATTTGGCAATGTTTATTTGTCCATGTAAAGTTTAAAATATATTGGACCCAAGATCTGCATAGATTAAACAAAAGTCGAATCTGGATTCCCAAAATTAGTTGATATTAGAGTAGAATATCATTAATGCTCTGCTTTTCCGCCGATAAAACACTAAAATATTGGTGATTTCTTATATAGTACAATATCTACAATATTATTCATCTTTTCCGTCAATTCATCGATTGGCATATTAGTGGTCAATTTTTATTTATTATTTGAAGATTGCCTTTTTTTTCATTTACTACTATTAATTCTTCTTTTTTATGGCTGTTTATATGTAGTACATAAAAACAATTATTTTGATTATCTTTATTGTTGTTGAAAATATGTCGATAAGAAGAATTCATTGGTGTAAGGTATAGACGAATAATGATATTCCCTAGTTAAGCTTAAAAGTGGCAAAAAAAAAAGCTGTTTAAAATCTTTAATTTCAGAAATTTGCTTAACTTTTTAAAATTCCTACATGTTGTATGATTGTAATGCTATATTTAAACAACTGCAGTTTATTAACTTTTTAAAAACACGCCTACACATACATATCTACCAGTTTATAATTAATAATTCAGTAAAATGCTTTGAATTCAGTAACAAATTACGTGATGATTCTTAAAAATTGCTTTTTATTTCAATTCTAAACAAACCAGTCTAAAGAAAACACAGTCTAGTGAAACGCTTCAAAGGGTCCAAACACAAAAAAACAAACCGGCCGTCTGTTACAAATTTAATCGTTATTATTTAATAGTTTAATAATTGAATTATATACAATCTATAGATTGAGTGATTTGTGATAAGATTTTTTTTGAAATTTTTGATCTTAAGGAGATAAGCACATAAATTATTATTTTTTTCTATAGTGGACAACAGTTAAAAGAAAACTGTTGTAAAGTAACTTGAATTGTTATAATGGTATTTTTGTCCAGCACAAAGAAAGAGGTAAATTTTTTTTTATTTTGTTATTTAATACAATTTTTAATTAAGTTCTAAGCCTCTAAATTATAAATTTTTAATTAAGTAAATTTTACTGGCTTTTAAAAGAGCATGAGTATAGAAAATAGCCAAGAAACAGATATAAAAATAATACGTTTTGTATATACAATTAATATCAGTATTAGTAAACAATTACAAATTGTATTTTTAAAAAGTTTTGTAAGTCTTTTGTTGTTATGTTTGTTTTTAATAATTGTATACAAAATTGCATTTTGTTGTTGTGTTTATGTTTAAAATACCACACTTTGGTCTACAAGTTTATAGCCTTGACCAGCAAAACTTTTTGGCGGATAGCAAACAAATAAACAAAGTTGCATTAGCGATAACACGCAACCTAAAAAGTTGGGTAGCTATGAAGAAAAAGGTATAAAATGAAAATTTGTTTGTTGTTTTTGAAAAATTGACAAACTTACTTGTATAAATGTATCGGATATTATAATGCCATATATTAGCCATTGTATAGAAACCAGAAATGACATAACTATTAAGGGAAAAGGCAAACTTTCGGAGTTTTTAACCCGTATCACATGCAAAAGATTGGTAAGCGGTGCCGCAAAAAAGCAAACCGTAACAATACAGCAAACAATACCTGTAAAAATAAACAATACACATTTGTTATAAAGATAATTTCAGGTTATATAGATTCGTAGTTAAGGAATCTCAAATATCCTTCACCTTCACTTTAAGTTCAAAATGTTGAATTTTAAAAATCAGTTTTGTTCCATAAATTTTGAAAAATTTAACTTTAAAATGTTGGCTTGCAATCGACTTTATAACCAAACATATACACACTAACAGTTCTATGGGAATATATCTAATTTTGATAAATTTACATATAAAATAAGAATTTCTTCAACTCACCCATAAAATTTTGTGCCTGTCCCACATCTGTGATACCATTAATATAAAAAACAATACCAAATAATGCCGTTAATACAAAGAGGAACTGTTTCACATAAACGTTCTTATTGACGGTAAAAACATAATAAATGAGAGTGTAAATAAGGAATAAGGTTACACCAATGGTATTAACCAAAACTACACTACGCTCTTCGCTTAACATGCCATAATGAACCCAATAACTGCAGCTATATAAATAAAAATAAAACAACATAAACATTAATAGAAGATCCACAAATTTCTTTCAAAAAAAAACTTACGATAAAAATCCGCATATAAAGGGAAAACCAGAGGAATCACCGGTTGATTTCTTATTTATATATTTGCGACATATAATGCTAAAATATATAAAACATATATTAAATCAATTTATTAATAACATACCGCTTAACTTACGCTCCCGATAAGTATTGCAAAACTGTGGTTACAACGGCTGTTGTTTCCAGTAGCGCTATAAATCCCTCAACATTATGCATTCTGCCGCTGTTGCTTAAACTTTACGTATTTCTTTCAGTATTTAGCTTTCTTTTCAAATTTTTATAATTTTCGACTTTGGCTATATGTTGGTCATAGCTTTGTAACGTTTTTTTTAAGTAAAATAATTAAGAATTTTTTATTATAAATTTCAAACCAAATATTTTTACGAATTTCCTACGTCAACATAAATACAAATTCTGCTTCTTTTTGTAGCAGCTGACATTCATCTAGAATTGATAACACGTCTGATTTGTAGGTGTTAGCAACGCTAGCGATTGTCTAAAAAACGCTATTTTAACTAAAGAGTTAATTTTAAGTTTCAAATCAAAACGAACATTCGTTAACATTGCACACTGGGAACTAAACAACAAAAGGCGAATGAATAACTGTTAAAATTATGGTCTATATTTTTGTGGTCGCATAATTAACTTATTATTTTTATGAGAAAAACTATGAAAAAAAGCAAGCGTTAAATCTTATGAATTGTCAATTGGAAAGATTTTTTATTCGTGAGAGACAATACTTTATCAAATCGAAATTAGCGAACGAATTAAAATTTCCAACCACCATTTTATCTTAATTATAAAAATTCGAATTTACCTAATTTCCATTATTTGAGCAATATAGGTCACTAGTTCTGTTCTAGTTCCGTTCTAGTTCAGTTCTAGTTCTGTTCTAGTTCTGCTCTAGTTCTGCTCTAGTTCTGTTCTAGTTCTGTTCTAGTTCAGTTCTAGTTCAGTTCTAGTTCAGTTCTAGTTCAGTTCTAGTTCAGTTCTAGTTCAGTTCTAGTTCAGTTCTAGTTCAGTTCTAGTTCAGTTCTAGTTCAGTTCTAGTTCAGTTCTAGTTCAGTTCTAGTTCAGTTCTAGTTCAGTTCTAGTTCAGTTCTAGTTCAGTTCTAGTTCAGTTCTAGTTCAGTTCTAGTTCAGTTCTAGTTCAGTTCTAGTTCAGTTCTAGTTCAGTTCTAGTTCAGTTCTAGTTCTTCTAGTTCAGTTCTAGTTCAGTTCTAGTTCAGTTCTAGTTCAGTTCTAGTTCAGTTCTAGTTAGTTCTAGTTCAGTTCTAGTTTCTGTTCTAGTTCTGTTCTAGTTCTGTTCTAGTTCTGTTCTAGTTCTGTTCTAGTTCTGTTCTAGTTCTGTTCTAGTTCTGTTCTAGTTCTGTTCTAGTTCTGTTCTAGTTCTGTTCTAGTTCTGTTCTAGTTCTGTTCTAGTTCTGTTCTAGTTCTGTTCTAGTTCTGTTCTGTTCTGTTCTGTTCTAGTTCTGTTCTAGTTCTGTTCTAGTTCTGTTCTAGTTCTGTTCTAGTTCTGCCTAGTTCTGCTCTAGTTCTGTTCAATTCCTGACCAGTTCTATTTCAGTTCTAGATCAGTTCTAATTCAGTTCTAGTTCTGTTCTAGTTTAGTTCTAGTTCAGTTCTCTCCTTCTAGTTTAAATTTACGGAGAAAAAAACTGAACTTTTTTTAGTTCTAAGTAATTTTTATTAGCAAAATTTAGCGAAATAAAATTATGTTTTATAAAGAATTTTATTTCACTAAATATTTCGTAAATATTAAAATAAATGAATCAAAATTTCATCCCCTCAACATTTTTCACGTCTACTGTGCACCAAAGAGAATAAAGTCCATTAAGTGTAAAGAGAATTTTATTATATTGTATCTTTAACTAATGAATCTTTTGTATTTACAAAAAAGTACACAACGTCATATATAGAATAGAATACACATTCATACGTACCCATATAATCATCATACATACATATGTATGTAGAGTTTTTTATTATATATAATAATATGTTGGGAGAACTAGAGGATTTAGTTTACTGGTTGGCTCCTAACAGGGAGCACCTATTATAAATTCTATTTCAAATAAAAAATTGCAATATTCTTTCGTGCAATAAATTGTTATTATTAAAATCATATACTATATTTAGTGAATTTTGTTTATTTTTGTCTTTAAATTAAATTTAAATAAAATCTCACCAAGGAAAATAAAATGAAAAAAGACGTAAAAAGTGAAAGACAAAAGATAATTTTTTAAATAAAAATAATAAAAAAATGATAAAAATATATTCGTAGTAACAGTACTGAGTACTCTTAACATTTGATTTAGTTAATAATAACAACAAAAGATAAACCACATTGTGCAAAAAATAAAAGAGTGTTTAAAAGAAAAAAATATTCTCATATTTGTTGTTGCTATTCGACAGCTGTCTGAAATTAAATTCACACTTATTAGTTCTTTTCTAACATACACGTGAGCTCATTTCATTTAATTTGAATATAATAAAAAAAAATAACGCAAATTGTATATATAAAGCACAACAATGGATCTTAGACAATTAGAAGAAGATGAGTCTAGTCGTTTATATCCACCACTCACAAAGATGGAAATTTGCACCAACACCACCGGCAATAATACTCAACAATGTACTGAAAAAGTACCAATAACAATTAACAACAAAAATACCAGAATTAAGAGTTACATCGAGGTGTGTATATTTGTATAGTCAGAGTATACAGTCGAACATGACTATAATAACAGAATAATAATTAAGAGAAATTATTTCAAAATTTCTTAGTTCAGTTCAATTCTAGTTTAGTTCTAGTTCGGGTTCTAGTTTAGTTGTGGGTTCAGTTCTAGTTCAGTTTCTATTCCGTTCCTAGTTCGAGTAAGTTTAGTTCAGTTCAGGTTCAGTCTAGTTCGTTCTAGTTCAGTTCTAGTTCAGTTCTAGTTCAGTTCTAGTTCAGTTCTAGTTCAGTTCTAGTTTCAGTTCTAGTTCCAGGTTCTAGTTCAGTTCTAGGTTCAGTTCCTTAGTTCAGTCAGTTCCAGATATAGTTCAGTCTAGTTCAGTTTCTAGGTTCAGTTCTAGTTTCATGTCTAGTTCAGTTCTATTCGTTCTAGTTCAGTTCTAGTGCAGTTCTTCAGTTCTAGTTCCGTTCTAGTTCAGTTCTAGTTTCAGTTCTAGTTCAGTTCTAGTTCAGTTCTAGTTCAGTTTCTAGTTCAGTTCTAGTTCAGTTTCTAGTTCAGTTCTAGTTCAGTTCTAGTTCAGTTCTAGTTCTAGTTCAGTTCTAGTTCTAGTTCAGTTCTAGTTCAGTTCTAGTTCAGTTCTAGTTCAGTTCTAGTTCAGTTCTAGTTTAGTTCTAGTTCAGTTCTAGTTCAGTTCTAGTTCAGTTCTAGTTCAGTTCTAGTTCAGTTCTAGTTCAGTTCTAGTTCAGTTCTAGTTCTAGTTCAGTTCTAGTTCAGTTCTAGTTCAGTTCTAGTTCAGTTCTTGTTCAGTTCTAGTTCAGTTCTAGTTCAGTTCTAGTTCAGTTCTAGTTCAGTTCTAGTTCAGTTCTAGTTCAGTTCTAGTTCAGTTCTAGTTCAGTTTAGTTCAGTTCTAGTTCAGTTCTAGTTCAGTTCTAGTTCAGTTCTAGTTCAGTTCTAGTTCAGTTCTAGTTCAGTTCTAGTTCAGTTCTAGTTCAGTTCTAGTTCAGTTCTAGTTCAGTTCTAGTTCAGTTCTAGTTCAGTTCTAGTTCAGTTCTAGTTCAGTTCTAGTTCAGTTCTAGTTCAGTTCTAGTTCAGTTCTAGTTCAGTTCTAGTACAGTTCTAGTTCAGTTCTAGTTCAGTTCTAGTTCAGTTCTAGTTCAGTTCTAGTTAAGTTCTAGTTCAGTTCTAGTTCAGTTCTAGTTCAGTTCTAGTTCAGTTCTAGTTCAGTTCTAGTTCAGTTCTAGTTCAGTTCTAGTTCAGTTCTAGTTCAGTTCTAGTTCTAGTTCAGTTCTAGTTCAGTTCTAGTTCAGTTCTAGTTCAGTTCTAGTTCAGTTCTAGTTCAGTTCTAGTTCAGTTCTAGTTCAGTTCTAGTTTAGTTCTAGTTCAGTTCTAGTTCAGTTCTAGTTCAGTTCTAGTTCAGTTCTAGTTCAGTTCTAGTTCAGTTCTAGTTCAGTTCTAGTTCAGTTCTAGTTCAGTTCTAGTTCAGTTCTAGTTCAGTTCTTGTTCAGTTCTAGTTCAGTTCTAGTTCAGTTCTAGTTCAGTTCTAGTTCAGTTCTAGTTCAGTTCTAGTTCAGTTCTAGTTCAGTTCTAGTTCAGTTCTAGTTCAGTTCAGTTCAGTTCTAGTTCAGTTTCTGTTCAGTTCTAGTTCAGTTCTAGTTCAGTTCTAGTTCAGTCTAGTTCAGTTCTAGTTCAGTTCTAGTTCAGTTCTAGTTCAGTTCTAGTTCAGTTCTAGTTCAGTTTCTAGTTCAGTTCTAGGTCATTCTAGTTCAGTTCTAGTTCAGTTCTAGTTCAGTTCTAGTTCAGTTCTAGTTCAGTTCTAGTTCAGTTCTAGTTCAGTTCTAGTTCAGTTCTAGTTCAGTTCTAGTTCAGTTCTAGTTCAGTTCTAGTTCAGTTCTAGTTCAGTTCTAGTTCAGTTCTAGTTCTAGTTATAGTTCAGTTCTAGGTTCAGTTCTAGTTCAGTTCTAGTTCAGTTCTAGTTCAGTCTAGTTTCAGTTCAGTTCAGTTCTAGTTCAGTTTAGTTCAGTCTAGTTCAGTTCGAGTTCAGTTCTAGTTCAGTTCTAGTTCAGTTCTAGTTCAGTTCTAGTCAGTTCTAGTTCAGTTCTAGTTCAGTTCTAGTTCAGTTCAGTTCTAGTTCAGTTCTAGTTCAGTTCTAGTTCAGTTCTAGTTCAGTTCTAGTTCAGTTCTAGTTCAATTTCTAGTTCAGTTCTAGCTCAGTTCTAGTTCAGTTCTAGTTTAATTCTTGTACTTGTTCTTGTTCAATTCTTGATCTAGTTCAGTTTTGTTTCAAGTATATTGTATATCGTCTTAGAAAATTCAAAGTTAACGTGCTATTGACACCGTTCCAGCTTGTAGTAGTTAGTTGTTCGTTATAACTTTGTCTTGCTGTACGATTGTATATGTGTCTGTGCATAAGCTATATAATATGCACTCTTATTTATTACTTCATGTCTGATAGAACTTGTTTCAATGAGAGTTTGCGTAGTACGAGTTGTCATGTTCATTGTTCAAGTACTTTCACCAAAGTCCATTTTAGTCCACTAAGTCTATACTAAGCAGCAAAACATTTATTTACACTTGTCAGACACGTTTTAGTGCTTACTGCTGCAAGTTTAAAGGAAAAATTCAGTTATTTGTTTCCCAGCAAACGAAATTGTGAATGATTTTAAAAAGTATATTCTTATCTTCTTAATAAAAAGTACATTCTTATATTATCTTCTGTCCCTCAATAAATATTCAAATAACAAAATTATGACTGTTATTCATCGGAGGCAAATAATTATACTGACCAACGAATACTAAAGACTTGAGCTGCACTGGATCCGAAGCTGAAAACAGAATTTCGAATTTTTCAAGTTTTGTTGACCTGTATTATTGAGTAGTTCTAAATAATGCATTTATTAAAAATTTTATTCTCTTTCAATGTTGTTGTGATTACTTTTAAGTAAGCAAATTTCTGCGTGTCAATAATGAGTAACTATTCAAAAAACGGGTTAACTACTTATAAATTAATAATGCCAAACTAACAAATAACTCTATAGATAAGCTAGTTCTATTATAGATTACTACATACATTCTATATAGGAAAAAATGCAAGTTTGTTTTTTTTTATAAAATTAAAATTCATTATGATTTTATTAATTGAAACTGATACCCTTAACGTACTTATTTTGTTACTAAAAGTTCTTATCAAATTTCAGATTAAATGTGTAGAAAGGTAAACAACTAATATAATTTGATTTTTTCCGAAACGTCAGGTCAATAACATTCTTAAGATCTTAATAAAATAATTTAGGCGATTAAATCAAATCTTTTTTGTGCATACGAAATAATTTAAGTGTCATATAATTAATCTCTTTTTATTAGAAAAAGTAATTTCTGCAGTTAATTAAAATGTATGTATATGTATATATATTGCTGACAAGATCTTATCAAAATTTAAATTTAAACATACATACATATAGTCACTTATCCATTTATAGGAAATTCTCTAATACATTCTCAAATACTTAGGTATATCTATTCTGTTCTAGTTCAGTTCTAGTTCTAGTTCAGTTCTAGTTCAGTGCTAGTTCAGTTCTAGTTCAGTGCTAGTTCAGTTCTAGTTCAGTTCTAGTTCAGTTCAGTTCTAGTTCAGTTCTAGTTCAGTTCTAGTTCAGTTCTAGTTCAGTTCTAGTTCAGTTCTAGTTCAGTTCTAGTTCAGTTCTAGTTCAGTTCTAGTTCAGTTCTAGTTCAGTTCTAGTTCAGTTCTAGTTCAGTTCTAGTTCAGTTCTAGTTCAGTTCTAGTTCAGTTCTAGTTCAGTTCTAGTTCAGTTCTAGTTCAGTTCTAGTTCAGTTCTAGTTCAGTTCTAGTTCAGTTCTAGTTCAGTTCTAGTTCAGTTCTAGTTCAGTTCTAGTTCAGTTCTAGTTCAGTTCTAGTTCAGTTCTAGTTCAGTTCTAGTTCAGTTCTAGTTCAGTTCTAGTTCAGTTCTAGTTCAGTTCTAGTTCAGTTCTAGTTCAGTTCTAGTTCAGTTCTAGTTCAGTTCTAGTTCAGTTCTAGTTCAGTTCTAGTTCAGTTCTAGTTCAGTTCTAGTTCAGTTCTAGTTCAGTTCTAGTTCAGTTCTAGTTCAGTTCTAGTTCAGTTCTAGTTCAGTTCTAGTTCAGTTCTAGTTCAGTTCTAGTTCAGTTCTAGTTCAGTTCTAGTTCAGTTCTAGTTCAGTTCTAGTTCAGTTTAGTTCAGTTCTAGTTCAGTTCTAGTTCAGTTCTAGTTCAGTTCTAGTTCAGTTCTAGTTCAGTTCTAGTTCAGTTCTAGTTCAGTTCTAGTTCAGTTCTAGTTCAGTTCTAGTTCAGTTCTAGTTCAGTTCTAGTTCAGTTCTAGTTCAGTTCTAGTTCATCAGTTCTAGTTCAGTTCTAGTTCAGTTCTAGTTCAGTTCTAGTTCAGTTCTAGTTCAGTTCTAGTTCAGTTTGTTCAGTTCTAGTTCAGTTCTAGTTCAGTTCTAGTTCAGTTCTAGTTCAGTTCTAGTTCAGTTCTAGTTCAGTTCTAGTTCAGTTCTAGTTCAGTTCTAGTTCAGTTCTAGTTCAGTTCTAGTTCAGTTCTAGTTCAGTTCTAGTTCAGTTCTAGTTCAGTTCTAGTTCAGTTCTAGTCAGTTCTAGTTCAGTTCAGTTCTAGTTCAGTTCTAGTTCAGTTCTAGTTCAGTCTAGTTCAGTTCTAGTTCAGTTTCTAGTTCAGTTCTAGTTCAGTTCTAGTTCAGTTCTAGTTCAGTTCTAGTTCAGTTCTAGTTCAGTTCTAGTTCAGTTGTAGTTCAGTTCTAGTTCAGTTGTAGTTCATTGTAGTCAGTTGTAGTTCAGTTTAGTTCAGTTTTAGTTCAGTTCCTAGTTCAGTTCTAGTTCAGTCCTAGTTCAGTTCTAGTTTAGTTCTAGTTCAGTTCTTGTTCAGTTCTAGTTCAGTTCTATTTCAGTTCTAGTTCAATTCTAGTCAATTCTAGTTCAGTTCTAGTTCAGTTCTAGTTCAGTTCTGTTCAGTTCTACTTCAGTCTAGTTCAAGTTCAGTGCTTGTTCAGTTCCACTTCAGTTCTAGTTCAGTTTAGTTCTAGTTCAGTTTTAGTTCAAGTTCAGTTCTAGTTAGTTCTAGTTTAGTTCTAGTTCAGTTCTAGTTTAGTTCTAGTTTAGTTCTAGTTCAGTTCTAGTTTAGTTCTAATTCAGTTCTAGTACATTTCTAGTTCAGTTCTTGTTCAGTTATTGTTCAGTTCTTGTTCAGTTCTTGTTCAGTTCTTGTTCAGTTCTTGTTCAGTTCTTGTTCAGTTCTTGTTCAGTTCTTGTTCAGTTCTTGTTCAGTTCTAGTTTAGTTTTAGTTCAGTCCTAGTTTTCAAATGGCAAAAGCTTTTGCATTATAATTAGAAATGGTGTTGTTTATTTTGCTTTTAACCCTTTGATTTTCTATGATGTATTTTCTAATCGAAAATGTTGTAATACAAAGCAATAGCTTTGTTTACAAAAATATATTCCCTTTTATTATTTTTGTTTATGAAATTCTAATTAGTTGCAGATTTTAATTGGTAAAGATTTTTATTTTACATAAATTTTAATTAATGTCAGCATATTAAAGAAATATTTTTAAAGCCATTTATTTAATTTAATAATTTAGTTTTTAACGTTTCATAAAATAATCTCAATTTCAAAAGTCATGAACATAACTTTGAAATTGTCATGCGTACAGTTTAATTTCCCACACTTACGCTTAATTAATTCCGAATTTAACACTGTAGCTTTACAGTTATATTTCAATAAAATGTTTATTCTGCGGCATACATCAAAAAAATGTAATTAATATTTTATAAAACTATCAAATAACAAGTACAAGTCAAAACCAATAACCTAAATATATAAATCTTTTTTATAACCATTCAAACGTTTGCTTGTTAATACAGTAACAATTTTAAAATTGTAGAAGTTTGCCACTCTATACAAACCGAATAAAGGGACATCTTCTTTAAAAGACCGTCCTTGTGTTTAGTTTTTTAGAGCGGGTTTTTGAGATGGTAATCAAATGCCAATTAATAATCAGATTAGTTAATCTAAAAATAAATTTAATCTTATGTTAATCCCCTTTGATGTTTTTGAGTGTTGCCATACAAAACAACAGAAACTTCACTGTTTGTTATCAAAACAATGCATATTTTATAAAAAAGAAGAAGACAATTGTAAATTTAATATGAAAATTAGGGTTCTATAGTTGAAACGAAAAGTCGACTTTTCGATTTTTTTCATTTAGTTAAAAGTCGACTTTTCGACTTTTTGCATTTTATGAAAAGTCGATTTTTCGACTTTCTACTTTTTTCATTTAATTAAAAGTCGACTTTTAGACTTTTCGACTATAAGTATTTTATAAATAGTTGACTTTTCCACTTTTTCCGACTTTTTTCGACTTTTCGATTTTTTTCGACTTTTTCCGACTTTTCGATTTTTTCGACTTTTTGACTATTTTCGACTTCTTTCGACTTTTTTTTTACTTTTTTTCGAGTTTTTCCGACTATTGTAGAGTTTTTGACTTTTTTCCCACTTTTTTTAAGATTTCGAGTTTTCGACTTTTTCCGACTTTTTGACTTTTTTCGACTTTCAGACTTTTCGACTTTTATTAACAAAGTCGACTTTTCGACTTTTTTCACAGACCATAGTCGAGTTATCGACTTTTTTGAAACAAAATAGTCGACTTCGACTTTTCGACTTTTTTCGACAAAAAGTCGATTGTTCGATTATTCGAAAGTCGATTTATAGAACCCTAATGAAAATTAATGAAAACTTAAATTAAAACAAAAAATGTATTTTGAAGTGTCCATAATTTATACTAATCAATAAATAGAACATTTTAATGTTTATATTTATAAAAATTTTATTAATTTTTTTGCATCAGCTGTTACACTTTTGCATTTCGTGCTTAAGATTAAACCACCTCCATTGGGCGCTTAAACTTGCAAATAAAATTAACTAATTGAGTACTCAAAAACATCTTTCGAGGATTAATTTTAATTTAATCGCTAATCTTTCACCTAAAGATGGGCCCTTAGTTGTTAGTTAAACCTGCTTAGTAGCAAAATTTAATTGTAGAGTTTACAAACGGAATGACAAACTTAAAAATACCCTTTTCATGGAGTTAAAGGGTATAAAATGTGTCTATTCGAATATTTTAAAATAATAATTTATTTCATTATTAATTTTTATATAATAAATAAACTAATACAAGTAATTAAATTTAATGACTAAAATATAAATAATAAATGTCAAAGATCAATCTATCAACACATCTCTATTTAATTAAAAATTTTCGCATTTAATAAGAAACAAATTTAAGGAAACTTTTTTTTTTGTTTGTTTTCAAAACCCAGATAACAACATCCGTAACCGCAGCAAAAACAACTAATTTAATTTTAATTAAGTTATAAATAAATATTTATATTTATTACAGAAACCTCAATGGGGTAAACTATTGACACTGGTGGGTTATGCTTCAACATTCGGTGCTGCTGTACCGGTGGGCTATTGCATTGGTGTGATAAATAGTCCGGCTACGGTGAGTTAAAAGTGTTTTCAAAACTATTAAACTTATTTTTAAAATTTTAAAAATTCTCCTCTTTAAGCTTGTTAAATCTTGGTGCCGGGAAAGTTTACTGCAGCGTTATGATTCCTATTTAAATGACTCCAATTTGGATGTGTTATGGGCTTCTATAGTATCGGTGTTTTTGGTGGGTGGCGCCATAGGCTCTTTAGGAGGAGCTGGTGCTGCCAATAAGTTTGGAAGGTGTGTATAAGAATTTTAAACTAAATACACTTTATTAATCACCAATTGTTTTCTATTTTTTAGAAAAGGCTGTTTCTCATTAGTGGTTACTCTTTGCCCTAGGAGCCATTTTATTCTTTTTCTGTCGCATGGCCAATTCCGTGAAATGTTAATTTTAGGACGTCTTTTAGTAGGTTTAGCCTCTGGTCTAACCACCGCCACTTTACCCATGTATCTAACGGAAATTGCTCCTTTAGTATTACGCGGTACATTGGGTGTATTTTGTGCCGTTGGTGTCACAGGAGGCGTGGTTGTGGGTCAAGTTTTTAGTTTGAGAAATATATTCGAACTGCTGAGCTATGGCATTATGCTCTCAGTTTCTATATAGTTCTAGTGATAATCTGTTATCTACCTTCATATTACTTCCCCGAAAGTCCCAAATATTTGTATATAGTACGCGGTAATCGCGAGGAAGCTCAACGTGAACTTTTACGCTTAAGAGGTCCTAATGCTGAGGCTATCATTAAACAAGAAATTGAAGAAATGGATTTGGAATTAATGCTAAACTACAGACCAGTAGTTTTGGTTCGGTACTCAGAGATCCTGCCTTATTTTGCCTTTATTAATAGTCTGTAGTGTTTCATGGTGGTCAACAGTTGTCGGGTATAAATGCGGTAAGTGTGCCATAATTGTCTATCATAAAAATAGTTTTTTTTTTTATTTTTTTAACATTTTCATTTAGATTTTCTATTACTCGGTGTCTATATTTGAAAAAGCTGGTCTTTCTACTGCTGATGCTGAGTGGGCCAATTTGGGTGCTGGTTGCTTAAATTTGGCCACTTCTTTCTGGGCCCTTTACTTATGGCCAAAGTTAATCGCCGTCCTTAATGATGTTTCTCTAGTGCCGTCTGTGCTGGTTTTCTTTTCACCATTGCCTTTGTTTTACATTATATTGTAAGTTGTTGTTTTATTATGTTTTTGTTGTTATTTTGAAAATTTTATTTTATTGTATTATTTGTAGGAAGTAGCTAGTTGGTTCCCCTTGGCTTGTATTGTTTGCATTATGGGCTATATATTCTTTATCAATTCGGTTTGGGGTCCCATACCATATTTATTGGTTCTGGTAAGTTTAAATATATGTACATTAAAAGAACACATTCTCATATAAATCATAGGTTGAGAAAGAACAAAGCAAAGCATACAAAACAAAAAGATTGGGTTCGTGGCTGGAAAAAGCTCATAAGCTTTGATCTAAATATAAAAAATTGACTTGAAATATAGATAGGATAGATAGATAGATAGATAGATAGTAGATAGATGATAGATAGATAGATAGATAGATAGATAGATAGATAGATAGATATAGATAGATAGATAGATAGATAGATAGATGATAGATAGATAGATAGATAGATAGATGGATAGATAGATAGATAGATAGATAGATAGATAGATAGATATATAGATAGATAGATATAGATAGATAGATAGATAGATAGATAGATACATAGATACATAGAGATAGATAGATAGATAGATAGATAGATAGATAGATAGATAGATAGATAGATAGATAGATAGATAGAAAGATAGATAGATAGATAGATATATAGATAGATAGATAGATAGATAGATATATATAGATAGATACTAGATAGCTATAGATAGATAGATAGATCGATCGATAGATAGATAGCTCGCTCCTCGCTCGCTCGCTCGCTCGCTCGCTCTCTCGCTCGCTCGCTCGCTCGCTCGCTCGCTCGCTCTCGCTCGCTCGCTCTCGCTCGCTCGATCGCTCGCTCGCTCGCTCGCTCGCTCGCTCCGCTCGCTCGCTCGCTCGCTCGCTAGCTCGCTCGCTCGCTCGCTCGCTCGCTCGCTCGCTCGCTCGCTGCTCGCTGCTCGCTCGCTCGCTCGCCCCTCCTCGCTCGCTCGCTCGCTGCTCGCTCGCTCGCTCGCTCGCTCTCGCTCGCTCGCTCGCTGCTCTCGTCGCTAGCTCGCTCTGCTCGCTCGCTCGCTCGCTCGCTCGCTCGTCGCTCGCTCGCTCGCTCGCTCTGCGTCGGCTCGCCGTCGCTCGCTCGCTCTCTCGCTCGCTCGCTCGGTCGCTCGCTCCTCGCTCGCTCGCTAGCTCGCTCGCTCGCTCGCTCGCTCGCTCGCTCGTCTCGCTCGCTCGCTCGCTCGCTCGTCGCTCGCTCGCTCGCTCGCATCGCTATCGCTCGCTCGCTCTCTAGCTCGCTCGCTCGCTCGCTCGCGCTCTCGCTCGCTTCGATCTCGCTCGCTAGCTCGCTCGCTCTCTCGCTGCTCCGCTCGCTCGCTCGCTCGCTCTCGCTCGCTCGATGCTCGCTAGCTCGCTCGCTCGCTCGCTCGCTCTCGCTGCTCGCTCCTCCTCCGCTTCGCTCGCTCCTAGCTCGCTCGCTCGCTCAGCTCGCCTCGCTCGATCCTCGCTCGCTCGCTCGCTCGCTCGCTCGCTCTCCTCGCTCGCTCGCTAGCTCCTCGCTCGCTGCTCGCTCGCTCGCTCGCTCTCTCGCTCGCTCGCTCGCTCGCTCTCCGCTGCTCCTCGCTCCTCGCGGCTCGCTCGCTCGCTCGCCTTTTCTTCGGGCTGTGCTCTCCGGTGTCCCCTTGCCCCTCCCGTTTTTCCTTTACTTTCTCCCCGTTTGGCCCTGCCGCTCCCGTGTCCCTGCTGTTTCCCTCTTCTCCCCCCCGGCTCTGCCTTCGTCCCCCTTCCGCTCTTCCCCTTTCGCTCGTCTGTTTCACTCAGGATATGTACCGCGGACTTATTCTCAATAGGGATCGAATCTCCTTGCATTTGGTTTAGTTAATTCGTAGGTTTGAAAGAACGATGTATGTTGCATTAAATCCGAAGAAATGCACCTAGGTCTCTATCGGCCCTGTTGTGCGCTTTCCGGTCTAACAGACTAGAACACTAACCACCGGAGTCACAATTTCATTTTCGTTTGGGTTACGACATTAGTTTTAAATACAGTTTTGCACTTATCAGGAAGCAATTCTTTCAGTTCCCTGACATTAATAACAAGTTTGTACTTTCATTACTATTGAAAGAGATATCCGTTACAGTTATTGGTTCTATCCTCTATATGATGTCTCCATTTTCATTTCTGTTCACAGAATTTTACGTCTTTATAAAATTAACATTAAATTAACTTAGAACGAACTTTTAATAATTTCTTTTAAACCAAATTTGGTTTTTACGTCTTTAAAAAATAATGTCTGCACTTTGGAATCAAAATAATGGCTATTTTAAGCACACACATGTTTTCATCAAAATAAATTGTATTCATATATTTTTTTTAATAAAAACTATTAATTAAATCAACCATTTAACCTCGGCATATATCTACATACAAACAATTCTTTGTTTGCAAATTTTATACAACTTTCAACATGTTTAAATTAAATACAATCACATTATTATTGCGTTCAAACAAAATGTATTGATAAACAAAGAAATCAGAGAAAAAGCAAAAACTCAATTCAATTAAAACAATTATAGTATTTTCATATCCATTTACCATATACATACATACATGCATACATATGTATTTATAGACACTTCTTTACAATTCACGTGATACTCACTCAATATGTCTGTTAAATAATTCTATATTTAAAACTCGTGCTACAAAATTCAAACAACACAATGTGAAATCAGTTGCTGGTTGTTTTTTAATTGTTTTAAATTGAACTGAGACTGAGCTACATACAACTTACATCAGACATCAGTTGAGGCCTTAAGTTTCAATGATGCACATTAATTGAAGAATCGAAAGTGAAACGTGATGATAACTTAATTTATTGCATTTCATTTTTATTATGTCGTTTTCGTTTTCATTTCACAAAAAAAAAATTAACAGTTTTTTTTTTTTTTTTTTGCAGAACTTTTTGAAGTAGCTCCTCGTCTGTTGCCATGTCTATGGGTAGTTTAGCTTCTTGGTCGTGTAATTTTATTATAGGTATGGCTTTTCCTCCACTCTCCAATGCCTGGGGTGCCTTTGTCTTCTTGCCATTTTCGGTGACCTGTACTCTGCTCTTTGTTCTTACAAATTCTATTTACCCGAAACTCGCGGTAAAGATCCCTCAGAAGTAGCACCTTTGGTAGCCAAAGGTTTTCGTTCTAAAGTGCAATAATTATTATAAATAAATAATAAATTATATTAATTTTAATAAAACTTTTATAAGATTTAAGTTGAAGCCTGTATCTTTGTTCTAGCTAATTAACTCAAGTGTTCAAAATTTATATGGAAAATTGTAACAATAATATGTAAAGTGATAATGTTTAGGGGTTTTACTATATAATGATGCTTTAAAGTAACTTCTTGGTTATAAAGTTTTTTTTTATGAAAATTTCTAATTATTTTATTTTGTTTTATTTCTAAACATAATTAGTTGGTAGCACAATTTTAAATATAAATTTTAGCTAATATTTTTAATAATTTCTTTTATTCTTAATAATTTTATAAAATTTGTTCTAAAATTATATTTCTACGTACACATAACCTAAAATTAATAATAATAAATTTATTTTGTAATAAACATAATTTCATCAGTTGTTTGTTAAAGGCAATTCGTGGATTAACCTAAGGTCTTTATGAGGCCTTATGTCAGAGCCATTTTTGTAATAAACATAATTTCATCAGTTGTTTGTTAAAGGCAATTCGTGGATTAACCTAAGGTCTTTATGAGGCCTTATGTCAGAGCCATATTCGTACTAAGCGGGTAAAACATCCGGCAACTTAATGTTGACAATTTTTGAGCGTACTTTGAGACTTGCCAATATTACTCCTTTGTAGGTATGTATTCTAGTTTCAGAATACTATAGTTCTCAGTCCATGGTTCATTCATATTCAGGTTTCCATTAATACCGTAATTAAGACCGTAAGAAATTAACCTTAATGTCTTTCGGTGAAGTCATTTATCACCACAGATTCTCCTTTATACGCCTCCCTTGAAGGTATGGGTGGATGGCCAATTAGAGGGCAGCAACTTCGCGCCCTGATACAGGGCCCAAATTACGGCATACGATATCGATCGAAATCTCAATATAATCTAAATGGAGATTTTCATCGATCAATGCCATAATTTGGGCCCAGGATTTACTTCACCACTTTGGTACATTCCCCATATCTGCCAAAACTAGGGTCCACAGGATCGTTACAGCAGTTCAAGTTCACTTCTAGTAGATTTTTAGTTCAGATTTTGTTCAGTTCTATATCAGTTATAGTTCAGTTCTAGTTCAGTACTTGTTCAGTTCTAGTTCAATTCTAGTTCAGTTCTAGTTCAGTTCTAGTTCAGTTCTATTTCAGTTCTAGTTCAGTTCTAGTTCAGTTCTAGTTCAGTTCTAGTTCAGTTCTATTTCAGTTCTAGTTCAGTTCTAGTTCAGTTCTAGTTCAGTTCTAGTTCAGTTCTAGTTCAGTTCTAGTTCAGTTCTAGTTCAGTTCTAGTTCAGTTCTAGTTCAGTTCTAGTTCAGTTCTAGTTCAGTTCTAGTTCAGTTCTAGTTCAGTTCGAGTTCAGTTGTAGTTCAGTTCTAGTTCAGTTCTAGTTCTAGTTCAGTTCTAGTTCAGTTCTAATCCAGTTGTAGTTTATTTATCCATCTATCTATCTATCTATCTATCTATCTATCTATCTATCTATCTATCTATCTATCTATCTATCTATCTATCTATCTATCTATCTATCTATCTATCTACTATCTATCTATCTATCTATCTATCTATCTATCTATCTATCTATCTATCTATCTATCTATCTATCTATCTATCTATCTATCTATCTATCTATCTATCTATCTATCTATCTATCTATCTATCTATCTATCTATCTATCTATCTATCTATCTATCTATCTATCTATCTATCTATCTATCTATCTATCTATCTATCTATCTATCTATCTATCTATCTATCTATCTATCTATCTATCTATCTATCTATATTTCAATTGTTCAATGTGTTGACCTGTGTAATCGAAAACTAATGAAAATCTTGAACACTTTAAGTCCATATTCTTTAATAAAAATTTCACTAAAATACAAAATTTTCCCAAAATTCGAACACAATACAATGTAGAACTGAGTATTTATTTGTTTTTTATTACTTTTTACTAAATACACATAAGGTATTAAAACTATTAAAATATTAACCAGATTTTGTGGTCTATAAATTCAACAAGTGTCTTTCTCTTGTTTCCCGTTAATAAAATTTAATTGAAAACGTAATGATTTGCGCTTTTTTTTCATTCCAAAATTTATATATTGACTATAAACATTTCAAATAATAACATCATCGAGTGTATACAACAGACGCCGATTTTCAAACAAAATAATGACGTCAAAAATGAAAAATATAGAAAAACAACAAAAAACGTCAGTAAAATTTACTTAAAGTAAATGTATTCTTATGATAAAGATCAAATTGGAAAATGTGTTTTCTGTTGGGAGAAAATTTGTATTTAAAGTAAAAAAATTTGGGGTCTTACGTTGAGGAAAATCAAAAGATACTTTTAGTAATGAACGGTCTGGCAAACGGTGAATAACGGAAATTTTCGAAAATAAACAACGATCGGTGACTATGAAACGAAAACAACGAGCGTGTATAAGAACAATTACCGAGTGAGTGCCATTGATTGGTAGAGAGATTTCTAGAGAAAAAAGAGAGCTAAAAAAAATAACAAAATTTTGAAAATAAATAAAAATCTCTACTCAAGAAAAAATTTAAAAATAAATTCACTTTAAAATGTTTAATATTTTTTGTTCGTTCTTCTTTTAGAGACAATAAATGAAATAGTTTTTTTCTCCAATACTTTTTCGTTTGTAATATTAATTTTTAATGTTCCGCAAAAGAAAATTATGTGAAAACAAAAATATTAAAGAAGAAAAATAAATATATATAACTTAATTATGAAATCATATGGTTAATACTAAAATAAAGTATGTAAAGTTTTGTTATTAATTAATTAAAAAAAAACATGTAAGAGAGGGGAGTGTCATCGCATGGACCAAATTGTTATGAAAACCCCTTTAATTAATATGTGTTTTGTATAAGTGCTTTCGAAATTGTTGTGTTCTTAAGTATACAAAATTAATTTGTTAATTAAATGAAGTGTTTAATGCCAAAAAATGCAGCAAAGGTGGAATTTTTGAAATATTTTCAAGATTTAAAAAAATAAATTAAAAATGTATCTTAAAAAATATGAAAATAAATAAAGAAAATCCAAATACAAAACCGGGGATGCATCAGTCGACTGATCTTTACTGTGTACGAATATTTATACAGAAAATGAAAACAAATTTGTATGTATAGTCGGCTATATTATAACCCTACACGAGTAAATACATATTTCATTGAAAAACTACAATTTTCAATCTTAGCCAAAAGCTGTAGATGAAATTTTTTCATAAAAACTTAATGTATTCAGTTCTGGTCAATGTTCTAGTTTAGTTCTAGGTGAGTTCTGGTTTATTTCAGTTTCAGTTCTACTTGAGTTCTTCTTCAGTTCTAATTCAGTTATAGTTCCAGTTCAATTCTTGTTCAGTAGTAATTCAGTTCCATTTCAATATTAGTTCAGTTCTAAATAAGTTCTAGTTCAATTATATTTCAGCTTCTCTTAGTTCTACTTCTATTCTACTTCAATTCTAGTTTAGTTCTAGTTCAGTTCTATATCAGTTCTAGTTAAGTTCCATTTCAGTTCTAGTTTAGTTCTAGATCAGTTCTAGTTCAGTTCTAGATCTGTTCTAGTTAAGTTCTAGTTCAGTTCTAGTTCAGTTCTAGTTCAGTTCTAGTTCAGTTCTAGTTCTAGTTCAGTTCTAGTTCAGTTCTAGTTCAGTTCTAGTTCAGTTCTAGTTCAGTTCTAGTTCAGTTCTAGTTCAGTTCTAATTCAGTTCTAGTTCAGTTCTAGTTCAGTTCTAGTTCTGTTCTAGTTCAGTTCTAGTTCAGTTCTAGTTCAGTTCTAGTTCAGTTCTAGTTCAGTTCTAGTTCAGTTCTAGTTCTAGTTCAGTTCTAGTTCAGTTCTAGTTCAGTTCTAGTTCAGTTCTAGTTCAGTTCTAGTTCAGTTCTAGTTCAGTTCTAGTTCAGTTCTAGTTCAGTTCTAGTTCAGTTTCTAGTTCTAGTTCAGTTCTAGTTCTAGTTCAGTTCTAGTTCAGTTCAGTTCTAGTTCACTTCTAATTCAGTTCTAGTTCAGTTCTAGTTCAGTTCTAGTTCAGTTCTAGTTCAGTTCTAGTTCAGTTCTAGTTCAGTTCTAGTTCAGTTCTAGTTCAGTTCTAGTTCAGTTCTAGTTCAGTTCTAGTTCAGTTCTAGTTCAGTTCTAGTTCAGTTCTAGTTCAGTTCTAGTTCAGTTCTAGTTCAGTTCTAGTTCAGTTCTAGTTCAGTTCTAGTTCAGTTCTAGTTCAGTTCTAGTTCAGTTCTAGTTCAGTTCTAGTTCAGTTTCTAGTTCAGTTCTAGTTCAGTTCTAGTCTTCTAGTTCTAGTTCAGTTCTAGTTCAGTTCTAGTCAGTTCTAGTTCAGTTCTAGTTCATTTCTAGTTCAGTTCTAGTTCAGTTCTAGTTCAGTTCTAGTTCAGTTCTAGTTCAGTTCTAGTTCAGTTCTAGTTCAGTTCTAGTTCAGTTCTAGTCAGTTCTAGTTCAGTTCTAGTTCAGTTCTAGTTCAGTTCTAGTTCAGTTCTAGTTCAGTTCTAGTTCAGTTCTAGTTCAGTTTCTAGTTCAGTTCTAGTTCAGTTCTAGTTCAGTTCTAGTTCAGTTCTAGTTCAGTTCTAGTTCAGTTCTAGTTCAGTTCTAGTTCAGTTCTAGTTCAGTTCTAGTTCAGTTCTAGTTCAGTTCTAGTTCAGTTCTAGTTCAGTTCTAGTTCAGTTCTAGTTCAGTTCTAGTTCAGTTCTAGTTCAGTTCTAGTTCAGTTCTACTTCAGTTCTAGTTCAGTTCTAGTTCAGTTCCAGTTCAGTTCTAGTTCAGTTCTAGTTCAGTTCTAGTTCAGTTCTAGTTCAGTTCTAGTTCAGTTCTAGTTCAGTTCTAGTTCAGTTCTAGTTCAGTTCTAGTTCAGTTCTAGTTCAGTTCTAGTTCAGTTCTAGTTCAGTTCTAGTTCAGTTCTAGTTCTAGTTCAGTTCTAGTTCAGTTTCAGTCCAGTTCTAGTTCAGTTCTAGTCCAGTCCTAGTTCTGTTCTAGTTCTCTTCAAGTTCAGTTCTTTTTCTAGCTTAGTTTTTGTTCTAGTTCAGTTTTAGTTCAGTTCTAGTTTAGTTCTAGTTCAGTTACAGTTAGTATTTACATCTGCTAAGTAGTCCAATCCGATCGTTTGTATTGTTTCACTTGTTTCAATATGATGTAGGTATTTTAAATTATACACATATTCAAAAACTATATCTCATACCTTTAGCTATATTATTTATGCAAACATTAAATAGTTTTTAAAAATTTTATGACGTCTATGGTTTGTATATTATTCGTAGATTCGGTCAGGGAAAAATAATAATAATTCCATATGGTTTTTGTAGTGTGTAAAAGTGCAAAAGTGTATTGTCGATTATTTAAATATTTCAAAGAGATTCCTTTCTGTTTCTTTCTTTCTTTGAATATTTCTAAACAATTTTCCAAAAAAAAAGTAAACTATAAAAATAAGCGCGTCATATAAATATTTTGTTTGTAAATTCAATGGTATGAGGGGATGTTTTTATTTGCGGTTTAGTTTCTTTTTCGAATTACAAAAAAAATGAAAATAATTAAAATAAAAACATTATCAAATAAACGGATTATAAAAATGTAATGGTTAATCATAAAATTAATATAATGAAATAAATTGTGAAGTTTTGTAAGGAGAAATAAAAACCGCAATTTTATCTTTAAAATATGCTAAATATAAATAAGGTTCACAATGCATTTAATATGTTTTTAAATAAAATTATTGAAAATACATACATATTTTCTTAATATTGAAAAAGACCTTGAAATATTTCAGGTCAAAATCACCGGATTTTACCAAGACTACTGCCGTTTTCATTGAGAAATCAAAATGAACTAGAACTGAACTAGAACTGGACTAGAACTGAACTAGAATTGAAATAGAACTGAAGTTGAACTGAACTTGAACTGAAATAGAACTGAACTAGAACTGAACTAGAACTAAACTAGGACTGAACTAGAACTGAACTAGAACTGAACTAGAACTAGAACTGAACTAGAAGTGAACTAGAACTGAACTAGAACTGAACTAGAACTGAACTAGAACTGTACTAGAACTGAACTAGAACTAAACTAGAACTGAACTAGAACTGAACTAGAACTGAACTAGAACTGAACTAGAACTGAACTAGAACTAGAACTGAACTAGAACTGAACTAGAACTGAACTAGAACTAGAACTGAACTAGAACTGAACTAGAACTGAACTAGAACTGAACTAGAACTGAACTAGAACTGAACTAGAACTGAACTAGAACTGAACTAGAAGTGAACTAGAACTAGAACTGAACTAGAACTGAACTAGAACTGAACTAGAACTGAACTAGAACTGAACTAGAACTGAACTAGAACAGAACTAGAACTGAACTAGAACTGAACTAGAACTGAACTAGAACTGAACTAGAACTGAACTAGAACTGAACTAGAACTGAACTAGAACTGAACTAGAACTGAACTAGAACTGAACTAGAACTGAACTAGAACTGAACTAGAACTGAACTAGAACTGAACTAGAACTGAACTAGAACTGAACTAGAACTGAACTAGAACTGAACTAGAACTGAACTAGAACTGAACTAGAACTGAACTAGAACTGAACTAGAACTGAACTAGAACTGAACTAGAACTGAACTAGATCTGAACTAGAACTGAACTAGAACTAAACTAGAGCTGAACTAGAACTAAACTAGAAACTAATTGGTAATCAATGCTCATTGCTTCAGATGTGAGACAGTGACAAGATTTCTTATTCTAGTCTTCATAAGTTTAAATCTTAATTATAGAAAATTTTAATTTTTAAGGAATGTACTTTTGTGAATGTTCGTTATATTATGAATCTGTCTGTTGGCTAAATTAACTTAATGTCTGAAAAAAAAAAACAAAATTCAATTCTAAAATACCAGAAATTCATTAAGAATAAATAGCACGTTTTTGTTTAATGATTTACAAGTTTTTTCGATTTAAATTTAAACAAAAATTTAGTGTATGTTTGTTTTAGCATTCTGTATGATACACCCTACACCATTAGGAGGGAAATAATTTTAATTTTAAGGAGCGCATGTTTTAAACATAAAATGCAAACAATTTAACTTGATCACGAAACCAGTTATTTGGCGCCATATTAGTAACTTAAAATATAGAGTTTCGACTCTTTCGACAGTTTTATAGTTCCGATTGGAGACAGTTCTATAGTCTTGACTATAGACAGTTCTACTCAAAAATGTTATAGTGATTTTAAATTTGCTTGAACTTTGTTAAGTATTAGGAACATATTTGGATTATTGAGACAATTTAAGGTATATAACATCTTAGGGTATATAAGATGCTTTACTACCGATTTCAACAAATTGTTAAATGTTTTCTAAGTTTTCTATTCATTCAAATAACTCGTAGTTGCACTATACTAAATGTAGTATGTGGGTGATATTAGAGTATGTTTATATATTTAAAGAATTCTTTTATTATTTATTTTTTTTTTTTTTTTTTCAAAATTATGTTTGACATTTAATATTTTTGTGGTTGACAATTTTCAATATCTGTTTTTAAAGTTTATTTTTGCGAAAACAAAAATTTAAATTAATTACTATTTTGCCAGTTTTTCATGTACGATTTCGAAATGTATTTATTGTATTATTTTTGGATGCCAAACAGTATTGAACTGTTTTATATATTTTTCTAGATATGTAGTATATAAACATTAGGGGGTGTTACATTTTAGAATGTCTAGTCTCGACTATAAAACGTTCCATAGTCGAGACTATAAAACTAT